TTGGATAAATTACTTAGAGTCTCTAATTTTCAATTTTTTCCTTCTATGAGAGAGAGAGAGAGAGAGAGAGAGAGAGAAAGAGAGAGACCACTCAGGTTTCAGAATAGTTGGGAAAAACAGATATAAAATGCAATGCACTTGGCATAACGCATAAGGCTTGACAAAGTCAATGTAAAAAAGAAGACAAATTATTGTGAAAGTGGTCCCCATCAGTAGTCCCTGTGGGTCCCTATAAGGTAGGTAGGATAAGTATTTGTTATTATCTCCATTTTGGGTGTGGTCACTCTCTCCAAGATCACATAAATCAAGCCAGATGTGGGGCTGGTACCTGCTTTTGGGTTACTATTTATTGCTCTTTCTTCTCCAGGTGGCCATAACCTTGTGTTTTCTGCATGAAGAACTCGTTTCACATTTAAATGAGTATACAGTTTTTGTTACATTTCTTAAAGATTCTGCTCAGGCCAAAATGAGACCGTGTAAAAGATAACAATAGCCTCTGTTTAATATCAATTAAGTCATTTTGTTCTCTTATCTCTTGTGTTGAAAAGAAAGTTCCCGGTAGCATGAAAGGTGACCTGTGTAAGACTGCAAAACAAAGTTATAGATCATTGTTGTCGGCACCAGTACTAAACATTTCTCTAATTTGGATTCAAGGGCATTCTCACCAATCATGCCAGCAGAATGCAAAGCAACATGTCTTTTACCCAGGGCAACCTCCACTTGACCCATGACGATTAAAAAAAAAAAAAATGTATGATTCATTCCGATGAAAATATATTACCTTGAAAACACTCCTGGAGAGACCGGTAAGTCAATTTCTGTGGCATTTGGTTTTCTAATTGCAACTTCATTTTTATCAGTTTCTCAGATCTAGATCTTTAACTTGTGAACACACTTGCCAAAATGTGAAGAAAAATTTATTAGTTTTCTTTAGTTGACCATTGTCTTTGGTTTGGTGTTATATAATCCAGAAATCAAAGGGAATCAGGATACTGCCAAATAAACAAGTTAAATTGCTTAATAATTTAGAAAAGGCCCAATTAGTAGGAAAGGATGCCAATAGGAGGCCTCCAAGGCAGTGTCTGTTCTCAGAAATTTGCTTGTCGCAGGGAATCCAGGGACAGGATAGCAAATGCACCCAAGTATCACTACCTTACTCCTACCCCCAGATTGCATCCTTCCTCTCTCCCTCCCTCTCTCCCTCCCTCTCTGCTTTCTGTTTCCTGACTCCTACATTTTCTGTAGAAACACTTTAACACGAAGTGTGAACGTAAGAGGTTAATGCTGACAAATCTTAAAATCACTTTTGACAAAAACCCTTTTTGTCCTTTTTTTAAAAATATTCATTTTGTGAGATAGAAAGAGAGAGAGTGCAAGTGAGGGGGGCCAGAGAAGAGAGGGAGACACAGGATCCAAAGCAGGCTCCAGGCTCTGAGCTGTCAGCACAGAGCCCGATGCAGGGCTCAAACCCACGAACTGTAAGATCATGACCTGAGGCCAAGTCTGACACTTAACCGATTGAACCACCATGTCCTTTTTTTTTTTTTTAAAGCTTATGGATTTATTTTGAGAGAGAAAGCACAAGTAGGGGCCGGGCAGAAAGGGAGGGAAAGAGAATCCTAAGCAGGCTTAATGCTCAGCGGCAGAGCCCAATACAGGACTCAATCTCGTGCTGCAAAATCACAACCTGAGCTCATATCAAGAGTCAGAGGCTTAACTGACTGAGCCACCAAGACACCCCTGGCCTTCTTAAATGTAAATAAAGATTGTATTGTGTAAATGCTTCTTATTTAGCAACACAAGACCATTATCATTAGGATTCTGGATTAATTCATACTGAGTTGGCTTTTGTCATCAAGGGTGGCCTGTGGCCAGATTGTAAAATGGGTAAAATTTTGCCTCACTTCTTCCCTTGCAAAAATATGTTTTTCATTTGCCCCTGATGATTCTGGGTTTTCAGGGTAGATTTTTTTTTTTCAGTCGATGGTGAAAGCACTCTGACAGACACACCCCAGAACCAGAAAGCCTAGAGAGTTCTGAATAAGATAAATAAGATGAATCGTAAGAAACCCACGCTCAGACACATTATAATTGAATTGTTGAAAGTTAAAGATGAGAGAATATTAAAAGCAGCAGGAGAAAAGCAACTTGTTACATACAAGGAAAACCCCACAAGGCTATAGCAGATTTTTCAGCAGATTTTACAGGCAAGAAGGGAGTCATACAATATATTCAGAGCTCAGGAAGAAAAAAACCCCTGCCAACCAGGAATAGTATACACAGCAAAATTGTTGTTCAAAAATGAAGAGATAAAGACTTCAGAAACGAAAGCTGAGGGAGTTCATCACCACTAGACCTGCCTTACAGAAAATGCTAAAGGGAGTTCTTCAAGTTGAGAAGAAAGGATGTTAACAGGAGGATCGGAACACTTGACTCCACTGAGACGCCAGGGAGGTGTGCACACAGAGGAAAAGGCCATGTGAGGACACAGTGAGAAGGTGGGCGGCTGCAGGCCAAGGACAGAGGCCTCAGAAGAAACCAAGCCTGCCAACACCTTCATCTTTGAGTTCTAAGCTCCAGAACTGAGAGAAAACAAGTTTCTGTTGTTTAAGCCATTCAATTCATGGTACTTTGTGATGGCAGCCCTTGTGAACATTAAGATAGGAGTCTGGGGGCGCCTGGGTGGTGCAGTCGGTTAAGCATCCGACTTCAGCCAGGTCACGATCTCGCGGTCCGTGAGTTCCAGCCCCGCGTCGGGCTCTGGGCTGACGGCTCAGAGCCTGGAGCCTGCTTCCCATTCTGTGTCTCCCTCTCTCTCTGCCTCTCCCCCATCCATGCTCTGTCTCTCTCTGTCTCCAAAATAAATAAACGTTTAAAAAAAAAAAAAAGAGAGATAGGAGTCTGCCCTTGACTCCTGACTCACCATGTGACCTGGCAGGGCCCTTCTCCTCCCTGGGCTCTGGTTTCCACATCTGAAAAGGACAGGTTGGGCTAGATGGTATTTGACGCTCCCATCTGCTTTTGTGGTAAGCAGTTCCAGAATTGTCATTAATTTTTATGTGGCAGATTTTACGGTGAGAGGATAATCACTAGGACAGGTGGTTTTGTTTTTTCACCTGACTTCTGTGCCTCTCCTGAACACCAGCAGCAGGAGGGTTATAATGAGGTATGGTCAACTGAAATCCCTCAGTGTGTCTGTGTTAGTTTGCCAGCACTGCTATAACAGAGTACCACAAACTGGGTGGCTTAAACGACAGAAATTGACGGTCTCACAGTCGTGGAGGCTGGGAGGCTGCAGGGAAGATGTCAGCACGGGTGGCTCTTTTCTGAAGGGCTGTGAGGGAGAATCTGCTCCCGCCTCTCTCCTAGCTTCCAGTGGTTTTGCTGGGGCAATCTTTGGCATCCTTAGTGTATAGAAGTATCACCCTGATCGCTGCCTTCATCTTCATGTGGCATTCTTCTCCATGCATATTTGTGACCACATTTCCCCCAGCTAATCATGTTGGATTACGGCCCACCCTCATACCCTCACTGTAACTCAATTACCCCCGCCAAAGACTTGTCTTCAATTAAGGTTGCATTCTGAGGTAATGGGTGTTAGGACCCCACCATAAGAATTTGGGGGGACATAATTCAACCTATAAATAATAGCATCCCTAACTGCTTACCTCCCGCTCACCAAAGAAATTATCACACGGGAATGCAAACTGGTGCAGCCTCTCTGGAAAACAGTGTGGACGTTCCTCAAAAAATTAAAAATAGATCTACCCTATGACCCAGCAATAGCACTCCTATTAGGAATTAGGTAAATTCCTAATTTACCCAGGGGATACAGGAGTGCTGGTGCATAGGGGCACTTGTACCGCAATGTTTATAGCAGCACTCTCAACAATAGCCAAATTACGGAAAGAGCCTAAATGTCCATCAACTGATGAATAAAGAAATTGTGGTTTATATACACAATGGAATACTACATGGCAATGAGAAAGAATGAAATGTAGCCTTTTGTAGCAGTGTGGATGGAACTGGAGAGTGTTAATGCTAAGTGAAATAAGTCATACAGAGAAAGACAGATACCATATGTTTTCACTCTTACGTGAATCCTGAGAAACTTAACAGAAGACCATGGGGGAGGCGAAGGGAAAAAAAAGTTAAAGAGGGAGGGACCCAAAGCATAAGAGACTCTTAAAAACTGAGAATAAACTGAGGGTTGATGGAGAGTGGGAGGAAGGGAAGGGTGGGTGATGGGCATGGAGGAGGGCACCTGTTGGGATGAGCCTTGGGTGTTGTATGGAAACCAATTTGACAATAAATTTCATATTAAAAAAAAAAAAGAAATTATCACAGAGAATCCCCCAGGTCAGCCTCCTGTCATGGTTTGCCTCACAACCATATGCTTATCCTGGGTTTTCCTGCCTGCTGTTCTGTATTTAGTACCTGGTTTTGTTTCTTTGGCAGTTCCAGTGTTGACAATTTGGAGAATCTGTTTGGTAATTAACTTCACCTTCCATTAGAGGCTACACCAGTGCAGTTGCATATTCTTCTAGCCTCCTGTGGATCCATATTCTCCAGCCCACGGATGTGCCCATTTTCAAACCCATCCAGGCCAACAATTCCCACCCGAGGCAAAACCCTAGGCCACCTCTGGCCATTCATCTAAGAGGGCGGGGTGAACAAAGAGGTCCTCATAGATCCTGAGGTAGTAGATTTTATAAATTTTTTTTTTCAACGTTTATTTATTTTTGGGACAGAGAGAGACAGAGCATGAACGGGCGAGGGGCAGAGAGAGAGGGAGACACAGAATCGGAAACAGGCTCCAGGCTCCGAGCCATCAGCCCAGAGCCCGACGCGGGAATGGAACTCACGGACCGCGAGATCGTGGCCTGGCTGAAGTCGGACGCCTAACCGACTGCGCCACCCAGGCGCCCCTGAGGTAGTAGATTTTAAATGACCTCTAAAGCAATAAGCAGAGGTAGAAAAAAGGCAATAGGCCAGAGTACTGCTAAAATTCGTAATAACATTTATTTTGCTATACCCCATCTCCTTCCTAGCAGGCTGCTTTCATGCTCTTAGAGGCTTGGGTGGCTTGGTTCTGCAAGGGGACAGCAGCCTCCTTGCTTTCATAAATACAGAAGAAATATCACCTGGGTCCAGCGAGAAAACCAATTCACATTCCCTCAACCTGTTGGAAGCCCTGGTTTAAGAATTACTTCACTCTACTGGGAAAGCGCAATTTTCATTTGCCATTTAAGAATGTTGGTGCATTGAAGGATAGGAGTTAAATAACATATATAAAAAAGATGATTACTTAAAAAAATTGATCTCTACAGAAATGTTCCATTGACGTTCAGTATACCAAAGCACAATAAGAAATGGCATTTTCTGGAGCCAGCACGGAGGTTGCCATGGTAAGAACGATTTTTTTTTTTCAGTTACCTAGAGAAAGAATAAAGTATCAGAAACATGTGCGGTTTGTTAGGTTCTAAACACTAGCATAGGGATGTTTTTTTCTTTCTAAAAAGGAGAATTTAATGGAGAATAAAACCTGTCCTAGACCATGACTTCCTAAAAGGGTTCCGGTTCTTCAAGGAGAATTGTAAACGTATTTGATTGGGGTAGGGGGAGGGGGGAGGAGGCCCTTCACTGTATAAAATGTCATTGAGGGACCTCTGGGGTGTTTTTTTTAGTATGGCCTGAGGAGCTGGAGATAACACCAGCTCTCTTTCAGGGTTGTTGCTCAGGTGTGCAGTAATTGGAGATCTCCTTTCCTCTGGCCCCTGTGTCTTTTATGTGCTGTTTCGTGCTGAGCAAAGCCAGGCTCACAGTGTAAAGCCTCTCAGCTCTTTGAGTTACTGCAGAGAATGCACGTGCATAGAACTATTTTAGACTTTCTGCAGAAGTTAGAGGGGAAATGAAGAAGATCCGTTTGAATTGCACAACCTTCCTTCTCCCTATCTCAATTCAAAAAAGAACAAACTTTAAGTATTTCTATTCTCTAATATTCCTTCTTTGGCTGTTTTAGCCACCAAAGTCTTCTCTTTGGTGGCCTCTTTCCACTCAGGACCCAGGCTCATGGGCTAATATTTCTCCTAAAATCCTTTTCACCATTGTTTTTCCTCCCCTCTATTTTGTTGAAGAATTTCGGTTCTACACCCAAAGTTGCACAATCCAAATCATCATGGTTGGACGGGTTCAACAAAGTCCTCTGTTACATAAGGGCTAGAAACACTCTGTGTTAAGGACCTTGCCCACTGCCCAGGACAAATTAGGTCGTCCTCCTCCTCCAAAAACAGCATCCTTGAAATTCAGCCTCTTTTTACTTCAGCAGTTTTCCTCCCAAAAATTGTTCCCTGCAGTTCCAAGAATCAAAGACTCCTAAAAGCTGAAAGCTGAAAAAAGTTTGGGGAACAAATTTCACCCTCTCACTTTACAACAGAAGATCATTATGGACCAGAGAGGGAGGAAGGACTTACCTGCCCAGGGTCACCTGGAAATTACAGTGATGAAATTGGGATGATAGCCCAGGTCTCTCAGTCCTTCACATCCCCCAACACTCTTTCTGCAGCATCTGTGACATTCAGAATATCTTTGACTATAATGTACAGTCAGAAATACATTTTACATTAGATGCTCCAATATCCATATGTGTATAAATATATGATATATGATACTTATAATTACTACATGTGAGGCATGCTAATATTTTCTGTTCTTTTGTATTCAATTTCACATTTTAAAATATTGGTCATAACTCTCTAAGTTGATTTCAGGCCCCAGGAATAGGTTGTAACAAAGGGTTTGAAAAACGTTGTACTACAACCCACTATCAAGTTCATTTGAAGTCAGGGAAGGTTTCATAGAAAAGCTAATTCTTGTGTTGGAACTCAATATAGAAGCAGAAAAATTGAGATAAATAGATGAGATAGAACAAGGATGAGGAAATGTGGTGGTTACTAGCATGTATGTAAATATCTTCTCAGATAAACTATTTGAAGAAATAAAGAGAATAATTTAGGAACCAACACGTGGTAAATTCTGGTATTAAGTATACTGGTGAGAATTAATAAAAGATGGAAGGAATACTTCAGTTCAAAAGTAAAACTATTTTATACTATAGAGAAAATCTTAGTTGTACAAGCTAAGTACATAGAATTGAGATGCTACAACCACAAGATTTCTTAGTTCATAGTGATACACAAACTTGTCATAGATTTAGAACACGGACCGCTCCTTTCCTGTCCTCACTGGCCTTACCTGCTAATTCAGCCTCCATATTCCTCATTTTCTCCCCATTCTAGATAAAGCTGAATTTTCTCTCAGCTGCCTTTATCTCTAGGGGTCAGGTTTCTTTAATGACAAGGACTCAGGTGCATCTTTCTTGGTTCAGACCTCTCTCTCTTTAGCTATGTGTCTTCCAACCCATGACTACCAGACACTTCCCATAGAAATTCCCAGCCAGGCCCTTAGCTCTGCACCCTGAGCCTCCAACTCCTCCTCCTGTATGGAGCCTCGAATCTGGAACTTCTTTCTTTCCACAATCTCTAAATACACTCCTCTATTGTTCTTGACATTTCCCCATGGGCTACTTACACACCCTACTCCTCACTCTCATTTAATCCATGCATTTAACCCTTCTTTCCTTTTGTGCTTCCAGAATTCATGAAAGGAATAAGTTCTTTCACAGCTCACTACCCCATTCTTGATCCCAGGCATTGACTCCATTTTGGTCCTTTTTGGGGACAATGGCACAGAGATCCCTGCAGAAGCAAACCTCAGAGTTCTCAGGAGGAGAGAATCCTAGAACCAGACCAGAAGTTGAGAAAGAGCAGAGGCAACCACAGAGCACAATCCCTGAGACTATATAGCAGCCAGGTTGGAAAAATTCTGAGCATTTCTTTCCTTCCCTCGTATGCCTTCCTTCTTAGTCTCACCCCACCACTTTGGCTGAAATCAATTGTGAGACCTTCTACCATATTGCCCCTGTACTAACTCACTTTTTTCACTCAAGTTTGTTTTGTTTTTTATGTTTATTTATTTATTTTTGAGACAGAGAGAGACAGAGAGAGAGAACGAGTGAGGGAAGGGCAGAGAGAGAGGAAGAGAGAATCCCAAGCAGGCTCTGTGCTGTCAGCACAGAGCCTGATGCAGGGCTCAAACCCACAAATGGAGAGATCATGACCTGAGCCAAAACCAAGAGTCAGACACTTAACCAACTGAGCCACCCAGGGGCCCCTCAAATTTTAATTATAGGTATTTAGGTTTATATCTCAATGCCTATATATGTCTCTGTGGCTGTCAGTGCCTAGCCCCATGCTATATAGACAGCAGGCATGTAATCAATGACTGTCAAAGTGCAGTTATGATCCCACACGCATCCTAGGTTGCTGCTTCAGTCCACTCTGCCTCTGCTGTACCCCAACCCATATTTCCCAAGACAATGCTCTTTCCAAAATGAAAGGAACCAAAGTTCCCAAGTAAGATTGACAAGTGGTCTGTATCTGGATATTTTCCATGACACATAATAAACTCAAGGAATATCCTACCAAACCCAGAAATGTGATCACTCCAGTCCTTGGGAAACATTACAACCTTGTAAGTTTTATTGTATAGATCTTGTTAGTGCTATATGGAGTAGGTGGGTTTTGTTTCTTCCTTTAAGGAGTGTTATTTTGTTCTGGTGGGTAGTTAACATTCCTGCAGATCAGCCTGATCTTTTCAAGATTGTTTTGAAGTTTTGTTATGGAAGATCTTGAGTTGCATTTATTCTAGAGGTAGATGAGCCCTATTCCTAAGGCATCACCTTTCAAGGGTCTCCAGTGAATGCCCAGAAGGTACAGGAAGGTTTCTCTTTTCTGGGAGGTTAGAATGGAAACGTCTTCCAGCCCTCTGGAAACTCCAATAGCTATTCAGTACATGGTTTCCAGGTGGCTTTTCTTTCTTCAGGAGTTCTTTGTCTAGCCCCATGAAGTTGCGTTCAAGGAACAAGCAGATTACTAGGCAGATACTTCAGGAATCACTGTGTAGATTGCTCTGTGCAGCTCCCTTCTTCTAGTACTCAGCTCAGTGAGATGGTCATGCGGTGCTTGAGTAGCTCCTCTTAGTGCCACAGTCTGAAAAATGCCTCCAGGCAGAAGGTGGGAGATCACCAGGCTCACACTGTTTGTTTTTTCCCTCTGGGATCACTACAACCGCCCGTTGTACAACATCTGAAAACAGTCATTGAATACATACATCCAGTTGTTAATGGGGGGAAGACTGGTCCAGTACCAGATACCTCACAGTCATTGGAATAGGAAGTTATGTTAGTTAAATTAACCCTACACTCAACCTTAATGGAGAACACACTCTTGGGATTTATAGTAACTTTGAAAAAGCCTACGACAAGTGTTTCTACTCTCTTTTTTGTTCAACAAGAGAGGCCTGGTTAATTAGCCTAATTGATTTATTCTTTGTTGAAACAAGTGGTGGTCAAGATATTCAGGCTGTCTGGGGATTTTGTACCAGCATTTCTGTGTCAGCCTGAAGGGCATCTAAGTTTCTAGCAAACCTGAGCCTAGCAGTTCATACTCTTTATAATGGTCCTGTAGGTTTAGGATTGCAATATATTCCCGTGTGCAGATTTCCCCAAAGATCGTTGTTCATTGACTCTAACTGGGAAGGTAGCTGAATTCTGCCAGAATTTATTACTTTTCCCTGAAATAAGCCTTCCTGAAAGATATGGGTTGGGCATATGATAGAACAGAGTTTTGAGTTCATCAGTCTGACAAGGACAGGTGATAATGATCATCGCTGACAAGTGTGTGTTTGTGTAGCAGAATGCTGTGCGGTTCTGGACTTCATTGTTATCTGAAAGGTAGGTTGTGGGAGGAGGAGAGTTCTAGCTCTTAATTCCTTCTAATCAAAAAGAATCTGATTCCTATAAAAAATCAAATATGTTCAAGTCAGTTCACAATACCCACCAGAGCAGTGAACAGTTGGAAGTTTTCACCTTTTACTTAGATCCCCTGGGCTCTGTGAATTATGGATGCATCAACATGGCAACGGCACTGTTTTCTTTTTTATAATTTTGTTCTAGATGAACTGAGAGGACAGGTAGGGTTTATAGAGATTCATGACTAATTTCCAGGCAAGTATACTGGACAAGTTTTGATTAGGTTTGTTTCTTGTAGCCGTTCTCCCTTGCTTGAGGTAATACAATCAGAGAATCAAATGCATCATTATCTGTATACTCAGAGGAAGTGATGCTTTTTTAAACTTTATTTAGAGTTTGCCTCAACTCTCATCCTTCACTTACATATCTTGTACACTACAATCCACAGTGCCTATTTTTTAAAAATAAAATTCTGTTTTAAACAATCTTTAGGAATGCCTGACTCATGATTTTTTTAGTAGATAACGATAGTCACTGCAGAAGTTTGAGGTGCGTGAAGGTCATCTACTTCACATGACCTTGCTACCAGGTTATAATGCAAGCGAGTCTCAGATTTTAGCCAATCCGCATATCCTATATACCTTTAATTTCCCCAGTGAGAACTCATTCCAACCATTTGTCAGGCTAATCAGCCATTATTTTCACCAATTAAAAAAAAAAAAAGCTTCTAATATTCACCATGCCAGTTAACAAACAAGGGTATTTTTTGAGGCACACATAACAGAAGCATCTTAAATAACGAGTTCTGTAGTTCAGAATGCTGGCTGACCGTCGGAAATGTGCATTTTTCTTTTAGAGCCACAGACTGAGTCAATGCTGAAGCTATTTTAAAGTAAATTGCAGATATCTTAACATATTTTCAGACCTGATCACAAGTATCTACATTGTTAAAGTCTGTGTTAAGTAAAACTCAATGGGTTTGGGGTTCCTTAAAAGCATTCATACACTGTGTGCACTGTCGCTTTTCCAAGAGGTGATAGGGAAGCTGGTGATGGTTCCAGCGTTCTGCACTTCCTAACCTCAGCTGGTCGTGGAAGCCTTTTTGGTAGTGTAGCCCATGGGACTAGTGTTCCTTAGAAACCATATTGGCAAATGCCAGTCTGGCTGAGTTATACAGGCAGATGTCAAGGAAAAAACCTGAAGGCTAGAAGACGGGTACATTACTATAATAGATATGCAATAATAAGATCCTAACTAAGCGTGGGAAAGCAAGACATCTTGAAAAATCCAATTAGATATTTAAAAGCATGGAATAACTTGGAACATTAGCATAACTTTAGCTAACCTTGACTGTAGAGACAGGCAAAGATATGCATAATCCAAAGGGATGTCATCTAAATATCTGCAAGTGTGATCTATCCAGGCAGGAATCGCATAAAAAGAATTCAGTATCCAATCCAGGAGTTCGCAGAGTAGGTGAATTCAGTCAAGTGGTGAGGCAATCTGTGTGTGCATGTGTGTGTGTGGGTGTAGGATAGGATCTGGAACAGATTCAGATCTGTCCCCTTTACATCAAAAGTCTTCAATAGAATTGTCCATTCTTACTGTGTCTCTTTATTCTCCTCCCATCCATTATTTCACTGAAACCAGTCTGGTCAAGGTTGCTAACTGTCTCTAAGTGCTACCTCAAGTGGGTG